CTTATTCTCAAACAGCGATGGGTAAATGAATTTGTGCTCCTAATCTTAACGTGGCTGAGCTAGGCGGTTGGCATAAAAATACTTATGTAATATATCGATTGCCATTCATAAATAGGTTCCGCAATGTTGTTGGGAAAACACAACATGGGTTAATCCCCGAACTGCTGTTTCCTCTTTGTCCGACGCCTCACCCGATGCGAATCGCGGGTTATCGGACTCGCAATCGGTGTAATGCAAACGTTGTTTAAAGATCAAGCGATATATAGGTAGGTTTTACATGCGACATAATTACCGCTGATTGAATTGAATTTTTGGGTATTTGTTTAAAACTGATGCCTCGACATCCCCGCACGCTCTGCACATATCATGTGTCAAAAAGCAAACGAACCGACAATTTGGTAGTATACCCTAGGAAACAACAACAGCAACGAGAGTCTGACACCAGCAGCAGCATTAGATGAGTCTTTGACGATAAGCGTCATTTTCCCGACGCTCTTGAGTTTGTTTTCCTTTTATTTTTTTTAGACGGAAATGCACACAGTTTGCAAAAAATAGGAGAGAAGTGTTAGTATAGCTGCAACTGGACGTTTGTTTATGACATTCGTTGCTTATCTCTGATTTTGTATTTCTATTTGTTTTGGCGGCCATTCAATTCAAATGTCCATTCGCAAATCGAAACGCCAAAAAACTCGAGTAAACGCGACTGCCATTCATTAGTCAGTCCTCCCCTCCAGAGGTTGTTTGAAGAACCCCTGATATTTTTTCGGCCACTGATGAGCTGGCGGATGTAGGCGGCGCCAATGCTGATGATGACCTCTTTAATAGCCACAGATCGCTGCACATGTCATCGATGGCCCTTGGCAGCAGCTACTCGATAGTTGGTCAATACTGCTTAATTCGTGCGATATTTGTATTTCGAATGGGAAAACTAATAATGTTGAGCGAATCGTAGTGTCACTTTATATATTATGTAATAGCGGCAAATACCAAGCTAGGCGCGGGCTCATTTATTTTCATTAAACATAATTTCATATTTTTACCGGTATTTGTAGTCAGTTTTTCGATTTGAACGGCCAATTTTATGCAATAAATAATAAAACGGTCTCAAACTTTGGCTGCTCTGCGAGATTTCAATAAAAATGTAGTTAAAATACCAGGCACGCAGAATTGTCTGTAGGTAGACAAAATTCGGTGTTCAAAAAAATGCATTGCATATGTAAAAGGGGCCAGGCTGTAGACACTGGCGGTAGACAGAAAAAGTGCACAGGAAAATATTTCATTGCCTACTTCTCAGGAGCAAAAGCATTAGGCAGCTGCTGACGTGAATAAAAAGCATTCATGTTTCTGGACAATTTCCATGCGAAATAGCCAGCAAAAATGTCCCAAGTATATAGAATTTCTGCAAAGTCCCGTCTTGCGAAAATCAGGGTCATACAAGCAAGTAGCAATTTAAATATTCACAAAAGTTTAATTAGAGTTGTTTCCATAATAACAGTACAATTGAAATAAAGCAAACAAAAATGTAAAATTTAAATGTTTGTATGCATTGCGTGTTGTTCGGTGCAGAGTGTCAACTATTTATCGACTCCCAGCAAGGACATTCTTGGTTGACCTGTGCAGATCAACGACACCAAATAATTCATCTTATGTCCCCCTGGCTACTATCAGTTGCCATTGCTGGTGTTTCTCTTTATGTTATCTAATCCGTGGCAGGTCGGCTGCATGATTGTTTGTGAGTGTGAGTTGCTAATAGCATGGAACAGTCCCAGAATAAAAATCCATATCCAAATCCAAATTGGAATCAGGCTCAGCAACGCGAAGTCGTTGTTATTTACTTTTTATGTTTGTTTTTGATTTATTTATTTATTTATTATTACATTTGACTGATTGCCAAGCGTCGCGAGCTGCCCGCCCCGCCCCTGACCTAAGCTCATGTATTATGAACAAGTTTATTGTCGTGTGCTATGTCTATTTAGTTAGTTGGAGCGCCGCAGGGGAAGGGTGGGGGGGAGTGGGCGCGGTAGCTGTGCATGTAAAAGCGGGCTGTCGCACAGCAGGCAGCCTCGTCAAAAATTAAAAAGTGCGTGTTGATTTTTGTTTTATGTAGCTGCCAAATCATATTAGGGCATTTGTTATGCACCGGGCAAGCAGGGCTTTTAGCATTTCCAAAATCCCATTTTTGTCGGTACCCAAAATATTTGACTGAAAATACGTGGAGCAACTTTATGCATTCGGCAACACAACAGACTTATCTCAACCAGTTCTGACACTAGCTAAAAACCTTGCCTTTAACTCAAAGAAAAACGAGAATGTGCCTATATGAAAAAGCTCTGAAAATATTAGAAAAATTTGGGATTACAAAACTCCTATTAGAGAGCGATAATTCATTTTTTCTAATCTAACCAAAACGAGCATATAGTTATATGCTACTTAGAAGTAAAACATCAAATCAAAAATCTGTTTATCGTGTATAACCAGACTTTTCTAGACCAAGTTTCATTTTTCTTTTTGCGTTGTAAGAAATTTCTAACAGTGGGGTGGACTTTCTGGTGTGTCGCACTTGACACAGATATCTAAAGATTAATTTCAGTTCGAGCAAGCACAAATATTAATAAACATTACGAAGTATGAATACAGAAATAAAAAGAGAACAGCGTTATTACAAATCAATTGAAAATAAATGTAATAACTTGATCTTTATGTTTCAAATATTATTTTTAAATATAGTGTGAGACATCCTATGCAATAGTCCAGCCTAGTTAATAAGTATATGATTGCCGCTTCAGTTTTTTGATGTTTGATTAGTTTTAGATTCTTAAGTGCCTTAAAGTTGTATGAAGTAGTTGTCGTGCAAGGAAACGAAAAAAAGGAGATGTTGCCAGTCTGCTGGGCATGCTCCTGGCCATTAGCAAAATCAACAGCAGTCCACACACACAGGCAGTTGGCAGTGGCAGCTACAAAGGGCAAACGCTTGCCTGAATTTTGTTTTACCTTTCTCTGTATCTCTCTCTTCTTCTTTCGTTTGCAACTCGTCACTCTTTTTCTGGCATGCCCCCTGCCCGCTCGCTACTCTGTTTAACGTGGTCCCTGCCTTTCAGTGTGACTGTTGTAGCTATTGTCAACGACGTGGAAAATGTTACGCTACAATTTAATTGAAAGGATAATCAGGAGCACAGCGGCAGCGCGTTATGCGAGGAGCGCACTCATTCAAAGGGGCAACGATACAAAAAGCCGTGCAATGAATGTGTTCTGTGTGTTGCAAATAGAAATAAATAGCAAACGCAAACGCAGAAGCAGACGCAGGCGCGGACTCAACGGTGGCAACATCGGCTTTTGTTGTTCCCGTCAAGTGTCCTTTTTGATGACGACGGCAATGGCTTTGGCTTTGGCTCTAGCTCTGGCTCCGGCGTTGGCTGTGGCTGTCGTGATGATGGCGTTTCGGGGTTGCTTTGGTAGACCTCGCTTGTGGCCGGGTATGTGAGCCCACAACGTGGCCAGCTTTGCTTCCGTTGCGTCGCTGCGATCCTCGCCCGGCCGAGCGCACCAAGAGACGGGGCTGGGGGAGCGCCCGTGGCGCGAGGCGTGTGAAGAACACGGTAGGAGGACAGTGTCGCCAGCAAAAAGGGGTCGCTAGCTCAGGGCAAGCAGCCGTCGACTTTACCGGCGATTGGCAAATGAAACTAAATAAAATTAAATGCGTTGCACAAGTTGCAAATTCATGCACAATCAAAAGGATTCATGCTGCGTGGCCCTTCCTGTGCTCCCTCCTCTCCCCCTCCTCCCCTCACGCTACCTTTCACGCTCTCTCTTTCTCTCCTGGTGTGGCACAAAAGCCAGCAGCAGGCGGCAAAAAATCAAAATAAAAAATGTAATTTTAATCGAATTCATTCGCCCCTTTGATGCATACGAATAGTTTTTGATTCACATTCAGCATTCACAGCTTAGCATTTTTATTCAAGTGCCCAGCCCTTCGCCTTGGGCAAACCTTATTAGAGTCGCCCGCTGTCCTCTGTCCCTCCCAGAACCTCACAGCCCTTTTCCTTGATTTGTGTTGTGCCAACAATCGCAGGATGTGCAGCGTGTTCCCCTTCCCTGCCCCATCCACCAGATATACGGCATCCGAATCGCAAAAGCATTCTTCCACGAGCAATGCAATTAACTCGGCCAGCCAGCTGACTCTGACTCTGACGGACGACTGGCTGACTAACTGACTAACTGACTGACTGACTGGCTGACTGTCGGATTGACAAATCTCGACTGCACTCGCGTGCTGAGTAATTAAAACACGAAGAATCCATTGCTAATTAACAACTGTTAGCTTTAGCACCATTCAAAACAAAAAGGCAAAAAAAGAGAAAAATTAAAGAGTTTGTTTTAGAGAGCCGATGATAAAATACCCTTTGCATATACATCGCAGATGTAACATATATTTCTAATGGTCACACGAACATGGCACGGCTGTATCAAATTCATTCTTTGTAAGGTAATATCTTATATTCACAAGTGAAAGAAGGTGTAGAGAAAAAGTCGCAGAAGTACAATTTTGGCAGTGAGCATTTACTATAGACCAGCATATATGAGAAAATATCTGCTATCATGCTTTGCACATGTCCGGAAAAGTGTACATAGAATGGGTTTCACCAAGCAAGCTATTGGCAATATAGGGAATGTTGTTTTCTATTCCATTTTCTTATTGCATTTGCGTGCTGAAAGGCAAATAAAAATATATGCACTTAATTCCAGATCTTAATAAAAAGTGAAATATAAATTGTTAAACGCTTTTCATGAAATAAAATCTCAACGATTTTAAATTGTGATTTGGGAATTTTCAATTTATTTTATTTTTTGCAGAGGATTGAAAAGCGAACTTGTTTGGCTTGAAAATTTGATTGACACATGTATTTTCCCACAGCCTGCTATATGTACACATTATTTTTTTTATTTATTTTTTTTTGGTTTATTTACTTGGCATTTGTATGCTATATTTAACCAATTTCTGGGGAGCATTCATATTGTTTGACAGTTGTTACAAAAAAAGAAATAAAAGAGTAAATCAAAAATTAAATTGAGACGCGAGTTGTTCACCTTCAGCTGGGAGACGCGTAAATCGAGTGCGACGCTTTGTTTGTCCATGTAAAATAATATTGTATTTGGCTGTTTGCCTATTTGCACGCTGACAATGTCGTTTTAGGCTAATGAATGAAGGACTAAAAGGACACGGCATAAAGGGTTTCGCGCGTGTTTGTGGTACAGAAATAAATGCGCGTTTTAGTAAAAATGTGTGCACAAACCAGCTTAACCGAGCAGAGAGAGGCTGCCGGGCGGATTGCTCTGCATTTGATCCCGATAACCTATGATTATTTGGACTAGGACCTGGCGCCACTTGACAGCTGCGCCGATACTGATTTATGTAGCGCCCGAGGCCTAGCCAAACCGAACAGCAGTTGGCTGACATACCCAGGAATTAATGGGTAGCACAATTGAGTTGTCAGGACGAGAACGAGAGCGAGAACAAGAACAAGTGCGACGGCGTCTTGTGGCGAGTTGTGGATTAGGGATCAGTTCGTCGAGCTGCCGTCTATTAGAAGCTGCACACTCAAAACCCAATTTTGCGAGAATCCTGTCTGCTGTTTGTCAGCCTATTACTTAATCAAGACTCTCGTTTTTAACCAGAAGTCTAAAGGATATAAGAGATTGTATGTAGAAAGGACGTTGCATGTTTTGACACAAGGCGGCGACAACAACAACAGCAACGACAACAACAACAACAACAAATGTAAACAGACACTGCCCAACTGTTGCTGTTGCGCCTGCTGCTGTTGTTGTTGTTGCTGTTATGTAATTGGAACTGCAGTTATTCAACTCTAGTGTTTTGTATCCTGGGTGCCGTTTTTAACACGCCTTCCTCAAGTGCCCAAATGGCTGCTCTATCGCTACCTGATCGCTGCCTGCACTATTTATAATGAGGTAGTTACTCGACTGCGATTTCGCCTGATTAGGCAGAAACAACAGCCTCGAAGAAGTTGAGCCACAGCGGCAGCTGCTACAGGAAACCATCTTGGGGAGGGGTGTCCATTCTAATGTCACTGTGCCGTGCCACAGTCTGCTAATCAGCTGCGTGGCCAGCTCCATGTCACAGCTTGATGCGCCCTCTGCCTGGCTAAAGGGTCAGCCCATGCGCCCAAAATTGAGCTGACCGAATGCTTGACCACTGGGTGCCCGCCTGATTGGCCCGCGTGTTGTTCTGCCGCGCGGAGGTGACCAAAGGCGCAGGCGCAACGGATTAGCACTGGGTCTTGACCAGCCGAATGAAACCACGGTGCGGTGCACGGTGCTCGGCGAGCCGAGCTGGGCTGGACAGGGCCGGGCCGGGGCGGGGCGGGCCAGTTGCCTTTGCTTTTGTCCGCTCACGACCGCTTGGCACGAAAATGAAGCTGTTTTAGGCGCTGCGAGAACAATGCTCCCAGTTACGATCCACGCACCGGGAGAACTTGCTTCACTTTTATTGTTGTGCCCCGTAATTGCTGCCCTGAGACCAGGCATTAGTGCCCCGGCACGCAGCCATTCTTTACATCCCACCCTCCTGCATCCGTTGCTGCGCGGGCAACCGCATTCAGTCGCATTCTGAACAAAGTTTTTTTTTTGCTGCTCTCAAACTTTATTGAGGCGCTCGCATGCAAATAAGAGAGAAAACTGAAAAAAAAAACAATAAACACCAAAGCCAACACAGATATGCACGCGGTTCTGGTCTTTGGACGTCTGCCACGATGCGGGATTAAGTGACACAAAGTGGAAGCACTTTGCCGGAAACAGATTGAACAAATGAGACACTCGAAGCGCAGACACCTCGTCGAGGAGTGGCCCCGAGCTCGCCTGCCAGAAATGCTCATTTGGCCAGCAGCCGAAGGAAAAAAAGTGTCAGACAGCTCGTGACAAGGCCCTGAAGCAAGGATCAGCTGCGCAAGGAATGAGGTCCACTCTTAGTCCAGAATTTGTCACGGCTGCAGAGTGCGAACAAAGCGACAGTTTTCTTTTTGTTTTTGATCACATTATTACTGAGATGCAGTCCCGACCTGCTTTACTCTGCTTTTCTTTTAGTCGCCCGGCCATGAAAATTGCAATTTTTCCCCAGATAATTTCAATTTGTGAGCGCACAACGGGGCAATGTTTCAATGTTGCAACCTCGTAACGTCGTTTGCCGCTTCACCACACAGCCAATTAGCCAGGGCGAGAGGCTGGGACAGGCGGCAATTGATTCGTTGCGCCATCATCGCTATCAATAGGAGGAACAGAAGCAGGAGCCGATGTTCCATCAATGTGTGGTGGATCGACCGCAATCATTTGGCCACAGCGGGTACTCGTGGCTCCGTCTCTGGTCGGAGTGGAACGGAAAGGAACGGAACGGAACGGATTGAGCAAGTTTTGGCAACGTTCTTGGGAAAAAGGCTGTTTCGATCGGGCAGCTCCATGTGATGAGCGTTGCTAACGCGCCCATTTATGGACACACTGGACCCCTGGGCATATTTGTCATGCCACATTTTGTAGCGTGCCGCAACCTTATGCGGCGTTTTGCACACATATTTCTATATGCGATCTGCGAGACTCTGATGATCATTATGATGTGGATGATGTATTCATTTAGACCCGGACACCCTGCCGCTGTCACATGCCCATCGGCATCACCGTCATTATTATCATTAACTGAAGTGCTAAGTGGCCGCGTGTGACCAATTTGTTGGGCACAGCTGCCAATAACGGGCCCGACGCGGGCCCACTGGCCATTGTTGTCCGCACGTTAAATGTGCCAATGAGCCATGGGTGGTGCCTTCGACGAAGTTCTGCAATCTGAAGCCAAACAAATTACGACCAGGTGACTTGCTTTGAAACTATGGCAAAGCATTAAATTGTATTATCGATATTGCGAGTACTCATCAAGCTTAGATGCAAATCAGTTATTGCCCAATAATCATTTTTTATCAATTCCAAAATTATTTTAAATAAGTAAATATCAAATATTGTGTTCAGCAAAGGGCAAAATTCCATGCCATATGAGGTTCAATATATTGGTGTGAGTAAAAAGACGGGCCATGTAGTTAGTGGACTGCTGCCGTAAGAGGAATCTTTAGATCTCTTGCCCCAGTACTTAGTCTCAGCACCTTGGATTGGAAAACACTATTCTACCTCCAATAGGATTTGCTGCAGTGCCAAAGATTTGGCTTGCATAGCACCAAACTGGGCCAGTAGGGTTTTGTACAGCAGCACCTTGCTGTTCAGAAAAGGCTTGCTGTTTTCCTTTAAGAATCATGTCATACTTTTGACAACTAGAGTACCAAATGAACCGGGGCCTCAATTGGCACAACTTTTGATTAGTTTTGCGACCAAGTGTGGGTCAAGTGTGTGCTGCTGCTCGCATTATATAAATAGAATGACAAGATACAAAATACAAATAAACACAAAAACATAAATTATGGTTCATATTTGATTCATATGATATTTCTTTACCTTTTCAAACTATCTTCAGCTTCAAATGGAGAGCATTTTTGAACATGAAATCGAAATGCTGTTAAATATGACTTCAAGAATTGTCTTTATATTTAAGCATTCGGAATAGTTTCTTGCATATTTTTGCTTGAATTTGTTTACTTAACACATACATGTACATACACATGTGGCTTTGATGGTGGCTAAAAGGAAATGAAATGACCGGAAGTTAAATCAAGCCAATTCAATGCATTGGCGAAAATTGTATCAAAACCAAATTGAACGAAAGTCAATGGCAAAAATTTTATGCCAGCCACGTAACAAAACTAAATACAAATATGTTGACTCATTGTTGTTGTTGTTGTTCTTCTTCTTCATCATCGTTTTCTTGTTGCTGTTGTTGTTGTTGTTGTTCTTCTTCTTCTTCATCATCGTTTTCTTGTTGCTGTTGTTGTTGTTGTTGTTGTTGTTGTTGGCACCCTTGCCGAATAATTCAAATAAAATTTACACCTTTGACCGTTCGCCCTCAGTCGCCGCCATATAAATACGTAGATAGACTTTTGGTTGCCTTGCTGACCGAGGGACGACAAACGGAAATCCTTTTTCAATTTTATTTTATAGTAGAATGCGCACACACATGAATACACACACACACACACACACACACACACACACATACTCGCAAGCACAGCTGCTGCAAGTTATTGCAAAATATAAATTGAGTTGCCGGCCACCGAAGTTGATTATGGTCTACGCTCCAGCGAATCTGAGCCAACAAATTTTCTCAATTCGGTTAAAAAATCAACACCAAGTCAGCTCCACAGTAACGGCAAAGGGCCCCACACACTCCTCCCTAAATCAACTGCTAGCAACCTCCAGACAGCGCCCATAGTTAGCTCTTGTAAGGGGCTGCCGTTTGGCAACAACAAAGAGAGAAAGAGTGCTCTAGTCTGGACTAGAAGATGCCCTATACCCAATTCTGAGCAGCCGTAAAAATACATTCGAACTTCTTTTAATGCATGCAAAAAAAAAAAAAAAAAGCGAGGGCATCCTTGAATAACTTTGGACCAAATAGACCCATCTTCTCAGAGCTGAGGCATAACCAATGCGTAAGTCAGAGGTATTGGCAACGTGAAACCTTCTCGATTTCTTCTATCTTTTAGCTCTTATATAATTCAAGATATGCTTAAGTACCCAATCAGTAAACCCACTCGGATTTGATTAATAAAGTCAGGGCGGGTTATCGTTGATAGGCAAAAACATTGAGATCGGCATGTTCATATTGATAGACCAACAGCCGATCATGGGTGGATCAAAAAAAGAAATATAAATATATATATATATATATATTTATATATATATATATGCATATGCTTGTTTAGGTCGCCAGTTAGATATATTTGCAATTACACAATATGCTCTTGTACTTGCACGTTTTTAATGGGCATAGGACATAAGCAGTCGCTGCCAATTTGAGGGCTGGTCAATATATTGGACTACTACTCTAAGGATGTTCACACAAGTATGTGTGTGTGTGTTTGTGTGTGTGTGTGTGTGCCCCCATGTGTGTGTGTTTGGAGCTAAGCCCTGCGGCTCACTTATCAGCGTGCATTAAAACAAAGTGGGTATCGATGTAGAGTCCGGGTCGGCAACAAAAAACCTCCACCACCCGCTCGTTGGGCTGTTGACTCAATTTGCACAAAAGGCAAGAACGAAAACGAATTTTCCATGCACCGAATTAGCATTGCCCTGCATTGCAATCATAATATTATATTTTATGTAAAGAAAATTTGATCTTGAATATCAGAAGTATTTATTAGAAACTAAATCGTAAATGTACCTATTATCGAGAATACTAGATACTGGGCCAACCTTGAAATGGGATTCGAGCCATTGCGCATTTCAAATTTAAGTTAAGAACTTCCCTTTGTTAGAGCATGTTTAAAACAAATAAAAAGGGTCGGGTCTTCTTTTCGGATCAAACGGACAGAAGCAGCTTTCACTTATCAAAGTGGTCGGGGTCCAAATTATTTACGCCTTAAGCTCCAAAGCCGATTTGTCCACCCACTGGCCCCGATTATGCGCCACAGTTCTCATGCCTATTCCCCTGCTCATCTCAAGCTGCAGTCACTCACATATGATGTCGTGCTCTGTTGTCCGTGAGCTTGAAGTATGCAACGCATTCGAGTTCTGGAAAATGTGACACACCGGTCGCAGATCGCGTCCACGGCAGTCCCCTGGGGCGTGCCCCTGTTGACGGAAGTGTCGGTGCCACTTAAGGCAATGCTGGCGCCGGAATTCGTGTGAACGGAGGCTGCTCTGAACTCTTCTCTCTTCTCCTTATTGGCGAGCTGCAGTGTCAGCTTGCAGCAGATAAACAATAAACAGGGAGAGGGACGACAAGTGCAAGGGCAAAGGGACAAGTGTCAAAAGTGTTTACGCAACAAGAGCCGACCATATCCATGTCGTTTGTCTCACTTATTAATTGTATTCCGATAATAATTTCATGCTCGTTAACGATTCCCCGACATGGTCCGGAACCGTATTAGTTACAGGACCCGCTCCCAGTCGTTAAACAGTCGCTAATTAGACGCACATGTGTAACACAAAACCGCATTTAAGCGTTACTCCAGAGCAGCCCCGGTCAAAAGGACCCAGCTCTGGGCCCGGGTCACGGCCAGCCGGGCACGTACGTGTGCGCGCTCAGTGTATTTGACCCGCCACCGACGCGACATTCGACGAGTTCCGGCGAAGCACTAAAACTGTCCCAATTGTAACGAAATTATACACTTGAACTTCTTAACTTTGCCCCAGGGTTGCGCACACAATAACTCTGTGTCTGTGTACGTGGTTTGTGGTGTTTGTTGCTTGGTGTGCGTGTGTGTGGTGTTTGGTGTCTTTGCTGTCTGCAGGTTAAGCATTTTCCACGACTTTTTTATGCGGCTAAGCTGAGTTTTGGGGCGATGGCAGGAGCAGGAGCATGGGTCAAAAGTGTAAACAATGTAAAAAGCTATACAAATATTTTCGTAAATATTTGCAGCAGCTGCAATCAGCTTATGCATATCTAAGCATTTAGCGAGAGCTAAAATATTCCGTATATATAAACAATTTTATTCGTTTGTATGATTAATTAAGAATGTATATCTTTATATACTATTAGTATGATGCAGTTGCATTAGCACAAAATGTAATAATTATTCGCTGGCAATTAAATACAATTAGCTGGCTTGGATACCATAAGGACTTTATTCATAAATTATTTACTTCAATTTAAGTATATTTTCTGTTTCCCAAGGCAATACGTAAAAGTGATTCGCCGAGCATCTATCAATGTCTCTTAAAATGATTTTCGTTTATTTTGCATTATTGGGGGAGGCATGAAAATAAGTGAAATATTGGGAATATGTCTTTACACTTTCTGAAAAAACATTCCAATTAAAGTGGCTCGAAATCGTATAGTTGTAAAATAAATACAATTTTTAGTAATAGTATGTCGCACAGCTTAAGGCAGGAAATGTATTATATTATAGGCTTTAATCCTGACATGTCCAATCTTAAATTATCCAGCAAAAAATAATAAATAAACCAGTTAATCACAATAAACCAAAACAATGCAACAAATTGGCACAGTTTAATAGCTATTTATGGGCATATTTGCATATCAAATCAAATTAAATCAATTCAAGCATGTACTATTGCTAGACTTTAAAAGCTTCTTAAGACCTTAAAGATTTTTTAAAGCATGTCAAAAATATTGCTTACACACATTTTTGCTCTGCAAAAGTGCCCCAACAGCTGGCCAAATCGAGCAATCACAATTGCAAAGCCAACCCCCAGCTTGCGCCACTCCTAAAACAGAATCCTGCTACGTTGGCTCGTCTCATATTTTTATAAAAATAAATTTCAATACTGACTGAATGACCCACGAGGACATTGACGTTGGCAATGATATGGCTGTTGACTCTGTTGTTGCTCTCGTTGTTGTTGTTGTTGTTGTTGTCGATTCAACTCGATGCGTCGCGTCTCGCCTCGTCTCGCCTGGCCTGTGACCGCTTGGTCATCGCAACATTTGCATGCCTCATTTGAGAACAAGTTCCTCTTTATTTATTTATTTTATTGCGGCCTCATTCGCGTTATGAACTCAATGGTCTGTGGACATTATTTCAATAATTGCACTCTACAACAATATCAACACAGCAGCAAACAAGAGCAATAATAACAAACCCACCCGCGCAACGCCGCCCAATACGTATGTCCTCCCCACCACCCAACACCATCTTGTTTATTGTTGTTTGCTGTTGCTGTTGGGCTTTTTATTACTCGCATTCCATTGATTTTCATGGTCTTTTGTTATAAACTTTTGTATTGTTACTTTTTATATACTTTTCTTCTCTGCGCCCAATAAACGAAGAAATTATCGCCAGACAGAGCGAGCGAGTGAGTGAGTGAGAGAGAAAGAGAGAGAGAGACAGAGCGTTTAGCTTGGCAAATTATTTCAAAGTGCCCA